TAAGCTACTACACCACTATGGAAATTCCTCAAGGGACTAAAATGAGAAATTCCATGTGGCCCAGTTATCCCCTTCTAGGTATATTCCTAAAGAGCTAAAGACATCATACTATAACAATATATGCACACCAGTGTTTATAGCAGCATAATTCATAACAGCTAAACCCTGGAAGTAGCCCATACACCCACCAACAGATGATTGGATAAAGAAAAGCGGTATTTGCACATAATGGGATACCACTCAGCTGTTTTTAAAAAGACAAATTTGAGACATTTGAAGGAAAATGGGTGCACCTGGAAAATATAATGTGGAGTGAAATAAACCAGATACACAACCTTAAATACCGTATAATATCTCTCATTTGCATAAATCAAAATACAAATGAAGAACACAATAAAAGGTGACTAGAAGGAGACAAGGGGCTAGATCTCTTGGAAATGAGAAGGGGTCCAAGAAAACATGGATGAGGAGGTGGATAATCAGTAGAATAAAGATGTGCTGTGCATAGGAACATATAATGTCAATGAATGTAAATATCATATGTCATAAACATGAGCTAAGATTAATAATATCAACAAGAGGGAAAATGGGAAACTTAGAGGAGGAGGGAGGGAGGTGGGGAGCGATAAGAAAAAAACCAAGCTGTATTATAAACATGCAGACACTCTCCAACATGCTTGTGAACTGCATGTACTGTACTGCAAACATGTACTACTAAAAAATAAAGAAAGCCATGCAAGTAGTAGAAGAAAACATAGTTGAATTCCTCCATAGCCTGGAAATGTAGAAATCATTCCTAATTATGACTTAAAATCCGTACAGTTACAGACTATATGGATATGTGTATTTAATTTTAAAAGTTTCTACATTGCAAAAGAAGTTATGATATTAGCTCAGCAGTTCGGTGGCCTGCCTTGCAAGCACAAGGACCTGAATTCAATCCCCGGTACCAAAAAAAAAAAAGTTATGATATAAAGAATATATGAATTGGTAATAATACTTATAACTTATATCAAACTGTTCATATGCCTAGTATATAAAAGAGCTTTTAAAAATCTGAAAAGAAAAAGGCCAATAAGCTCAGTGAAAAATAGGCACATTGTACAGATGATCCAAAGAGAAAGAGGCCAGTGGCTCGTAGCCTTTTGAAGATGTACTCAGACTTGCTCGTAATAAGAGAAATTGTAAATTAAAACTATGCTATAATTTCTTATGTATTCTATTGGGGAAAACAAAGGCTTGGCACATTAAAGAAACAGGCTGTCAGGATGTGAGAACGATCTGGCTGTGACATCTGTCACCCCAGTGATCACCAGGGCTGATTCAGCTGACCTGGTTGGGTGGGTGGGTGGGGGGGTGTGGGTGGATGGGTGTCCCCTTCTTCCCTCACCACTCCACGTGTGTCCCTCCCGAAGCTTTGCGCTCAGTGGAAGAGGACGACCACCCCTGAGAGAGGAGGACCATCCCCTCAGTCAAGGGTCTCCCCTGCTAGAACCTCCAAACAAACATAACCATATACTGTAATAAAACTTCCATGAATATAGTCTCTTCCTGCGGTGTGGGTGGATGGGTGTCCCCTTCTTCCCTCACCACTCCACGTGTGTCCCTCCCGAAGCTTTGCGCTCAGTGGAAGAGGACGACCACCCCTGAGAGAGGAGGACCATCCCCTCAGTCAAGGGTCTCCCCTGCTAGAACCTCCAAACAAACATAACCATATACTGTAATAAAACTTCCATGAATATAGTCTCTTCCTGCAAACATCTTATTGTATTTTCACCTTTTTACTTCAAGGAAGTACTTTTGGGCTTCTTTTTGGCATATTTGAATTGAATTGCCATTATCACAACTTTGTGCTTTGGGGGCTGTTATGAAGTAAAGCAAGGGATCCTGGAACACAAGCACCGCAATACCATGATATTTGCCCTAATAATTGAGGCTGCTACAACCAAGAAGGCAGTGTATACCATGTGGATACACCCAACAAAGGGATGAAACATGTTCTGGGCAGAATGCAATGGGAAGGTGCAAGGTTTTATCACAATACTCAGAATGGCACACATTTTAAAACTTGTAAATCATTTATTTCTAAAAGTTTTCATTAATATTTTCACACTGCAGTTGATCATAGTAAATGAAACCACAGAAAGTGAAATTACGGATGAGAGGGAAGGGAGGGAGGGAGGCCTGGGCATAATTTTAGAAATGCTTCAGTATAGCAACTTACTGGAAATCACCCCTTCCCTGGCTGGCTCCTAAGGCTGACTCTTGAGGTTTTAGTAAGTAAAGAAGCAGGGCCTGCAGGCACAAACTCAGATTTTAATTTAAACTTTCAGCCCTTTGATTTGTTTTCCTTCACACTAACAGTATCCCTGAAGGCCCTTTACTTCAAAGCCCTGAGGGCTTGGGAGCTGAGGGTAGGCAGCTGCTGCACAAAGACACTGAAAACAACAGAAAGGGGTTTTGGCCACAGGCAGCAGTGTGAACTCCGTTTGCCCCACAGTTAGCAGTTCCAGCAGTGGACTCAAATCCTAGATTTGCCACTTACTCTTTGGGTAACCTTTGGAAAGTGTCTGAAATGCTCATCTACAAAATGAATCTAATTCCAATTCCTAACTCCTATTGTCCCAGTGAGGATTAAAAGAGCTAATGTATGCAAGATACTTCCTCTGTGTTAATTGTTGTAAAAAGGTAGAAAAGCCATAGTCTCTGCCAGCAAGGAACTCATAATCTAGCAGGAAAGATTAAGGTAGAGATGCAAATGACAATATTAGAAGACATAAAATGCTAATGTCCCAAGGGCGAAGCAGATAAAGCCTTGCCTGAGTGTAGAAGCAAGAGCAAATTATTCCTGCAGCCCAAAACATGACAGGCTGCTGGTGATGGTGACATTTTAGCTGGGCTGAGGATGGGTAACATTCAGGCAGCAGAGGCCAGCGGATAAGAGGAGGAGGGTAGAAGCGCAGGGAGCTTTCCTAGCAGAGGGAGGGAGGGAGGGAGGACTCCCTGAGCAACAGTGCGAGACAGAGCTGAGAGGGGCTGCAGCTGGCTTCGGAACTGGATTCTTGGGGGAGCAGAGGAACGTTTAAGCTCACTTTGAAAAGTAGAGTTAGTATTTTAAGGGAAAGCTGCAGGGAGACTCAGGGAACGGGGGGATGAGTGTTTTAAGAGAGCTGAGTTTTGCAGAGGCTGGAGGTCAACATTTATTTTAAGAACTAATTACCCCAAAACTGGGGACACTTTCCGTGAGCAAGATCCCTCCCCTTGGGCGAATGGGGCAGCAGGGGCGGGGAGACAAGCAATAGGTATGAAAACACAGCAGTAAAATAATTTCACCAGTAGTAAGTGTTGTAATTTGGGAATAGAATACTGGGACAGTGACCGGGGAGCTACGCTGACTGGGAGAAGGGCACCAGGAAGAGCTCTCAGAGCCGAGATCTCTCAGTGGTGGAAAAGACAGTTATCCACGCTCTAGCAGAGGATCAGGCAGAGTGAACTGAACTGTGACAGGGGCTCTCAGCCAGAAATCATGGCTGTATGGCTGGCAAAAGAAAAGGTCGGAGGAAGCCAGCCACACAGGGCCAGATCGTGCAAAATGTTTGTCTTGTCAGCCTAGGTAAGAGGTTTGGACTTCAGGAATGATGGGAAGAGATTTAAAGGTTTTTAGACTATTTTCAGGCATGGTCTGATGGGCGACGCAAGGTCAGGCATGATCAGGCAAGGCTTTATGTGTTTCACCCTTGGGACATTTGCATTTTATGTCATCTAGTATTGTCATTTGCATCTCTACCTTAATTTTCCTGCTAGATCGTGAGTTCCTTGCTGGCCGAGACTATAGCTTTTCTACCTTTTTACAACAATTAACATAGAGCAAGTGTCTTGCATACATGGGTGTGGTTAAAGGCCAGCCCTGGCTGCCAGGTGAGGTAGATTATCTGGGAAAGGCCTGAAAGTGGGAAGGCCACTCAAAAGGCTGTTGTACATGACATGATGCGTTCTGGGGACCCAGACAGGGGGAGCACGTGCTTCTTCATGGCAGGAGGCCCATAAATAGATCAGGGCGCTTCCAGGACACAGTCTGCTGCCCTGCCTGGGAGCCGCTCTGAACACACTGCAAGGAGAGACATCCTGGAGTCGTGGCTCAGTGGAAACAGCATATTGCACAACTGCACCGATATCTTATGGGCCGAACCACGTCACATTAAATACACATTTCTGTAGCAGTTTATTGACATATAAAAAGACATCTGGGAAGTTATTCACCAAGCACTTGTCTGTGATTCTTTTTTTTCCATGAAGCAAGATTTTTAAATGTGCTTTTTGTTTTGTTTTGTTTTTCAGTGTTCTTTGAACTTTTTCTGAGGTAAATTTTTTTCCCCACAGGTATGTATCATTTCTATGAAAACGTAGTTTTTTTTGTTTAAAAAAAAAAAGAGAGAGAGAGAGAGAGAAGTAAAGACCAATCCCTTTGTGTCCAAATCTGCCTCCGTGCATACACATGCACATGCACGAACACATGTGCACAGCCATGAACACACGTGCACACACATATGAACACACAGGTGCATGTGCTAGCTCCAGTTCAAGGAAGTGGAAGGCTGCTCGAGTGGCTCCAGGTGTGCATCTTCCTAGGACACCACCAGAGCCCCAAGAGTTCCCCTCAGAGAGCATGACTAACCCTGCTGCAGCAGGGCTCAAGGGCCCAGAGCAAAGATTCTTCACTCCCAGAGAGAGTGGCTTTGAAATTCAGTCAGAAAGCACAGATGATGTTTTGGAAATGACATGCCGCCCCCCGCACACGCGCCCACACACACACACACACACAGGCACACTGTGCGCCACTGGGCTTCCTTTAACCCACCTGCAGAGTTTCCACAGACACCCCTGGGCAGGAGGGGGTATCCAGAGGAAACAAATAAATAGAGTGTGGGTGAGGGCAGGATGCCTCAGGCCTGGCCACAGCTGCAGCTCAGGCACTTGCAGAGATCTCTTCATCTTCTCAGGAGGAAAACTGGGAGCTCAGCCGACAAAAGGACAAACACGAGAGAAATGAGGTGGGAGAGGACAGAGGAAGTGACTCCTGGTTGCTGTGACTATCGCTGGGCACCTGTAGTTACCAGCTCCTGGCTCTCCAGGTGGGTTCTGTTTGGCCCACACCATCTTAAAGTGTATGAATTAGTTGTCATGGTGTAAAAGGTGGCAGTTTTATGTAAAGATTGGATTTTCTGTTTGTTTGTTTTTTTGAAGCAGGGCTGGGATCTCCTGCTCACCCTTGCTGGCCTTTGCTACAGCCCAGAAACCACATCTGGGATCCAACTGTGGTAGAAATTGCACTTTTGCTACCTTTTTACTCTTTACACAAACCTTTGATATGGAAACTACAGTGACCCTTTAGTTACAATCAGCCTGATATGCAAACGACTTGGGTTACAACCTGAATTTTAGTTTAACTTACACACACACATACACACACACACACACACTTAAGTCAATCTGAATTAGTTTTATGTAAAGATTGGATTTTCTGTTTGTTTGTTTTTTTGAAGCAGGGCTGGGATCTCCTGCTCACCCTTGCTGGCCTTTGCTACAGCCCAGAAACCACATCTGGGATCCAACTGTGGTAGAAATTGCACTTTTGCTACCTTTTTACTCTTTACACAAACCTTTGATATGGAAACTACAGTGACCCTTTAGTTACAATCAGCCTGATATGCAAACGACTTGGGTTACAACCTGAATTTTAGTTTAACTTACACACACACATACACACACACACACACACTTAAGTTACAATCTGAATGCCACCTGCTTATGCTTCCTGATACTCTCAGACATAGGTTTAACCCTTAAAGAGTTCTGTAAGAAACATGACAGCATCCTTTCCTGAGTGGGATCCATTGAGAAATCCTGGGCCAGTGTCCCTCTAAGGACACCGAGATCTTCCTGTGCACAGGAGAGAGATTTTAAAGGCCGTGGAGAGGACCCTGAGCCTTCACTGACCAACCTGGGTTACAAATTGAGTTTGTAAGTCAAGGGTCCACTGTTCAACTATTTTGTGGAAGAGAAAGCAGAGGCTGAGAGAAGTTAAATGACCTGCCTAAGGTGATACAACTTTAAGTGGCTGACTTTAGAGCTTATGCCCTGGGCAGAGAGGCGAAGCTGCGAAACCAGGGGTCAGTGAGGCATCTCCCAAGCTGCTGGCCATGACCCTGATGAGGTTCTCTCTTCCAGGAACATCTGGTCCCCCTGCCTGGACATCCCTGAACCCAGCTGATACCTCCTGGGCCTAGATGAGTGTAAAGCAATGTAGAGACTACAGCAGGGGTCTGGGTGTTACCAAGATGAGGCAGTTTAAGGTTTTTAATCTGTGTTAAACCTCTCTGTGTAAAGGGGAGTAGATGTCTAAGCATACCCTAAGCAGGTGGGTCCTAGTGTCCCGTCCCTATTTCCATCCTTGGACCAGAGAAACGTTTTTATTTCTTTTTTCTATGCCAAGTTTCCCTTTAAAACTTCCTTTGAATAAAAAAGAAATTTTGCTGCTCAAAAATAATTCAGAAAAAATATGGACATTTTGGGTGCCATAGATATATATTTTCTGGTGGCTAAGGAGCTGTCACCAGGAACTGTCCGTCCATTAAGCCCTGTGGATTCTGTCCAGCTTCTTATCTTCACCTTTCAGGAGGGACCGCCTGCTAGTTTCTCCTCCCCTATGGCCTGAATGGAATCAGCCCTCCCCGGACTCCAAGTAGGGTCCAAAATTTGTTTGTGTGGACTTGCATAGAAAGCTTCACTGAATGAGATTCACCGAGATGCACTGGATGCCAGTGAGATTCATAGAGTCCCCAAAGGCAGTGATTTTCTTTTTGAATTTCATGTTCCCTCAAGAAGCAAATCTGTCACCTCTCTGGCTTCCTCCTTCTGCCAGGCCTGGGCCCCTTTCCTCTGTCTTTTTTCCCCACATCTCGCACATGTGTGCATAAACACATATGCGTACACATGAGCATGTGTGTGCCCACTCATGCACATGCATCCAATAAGCTTTAAGTCAGCCAATTAGTGACTGTGCAATTTCTACCACAGTTGGGTCCCAGAGTGTTTCTGGGCTATAGCAAAGGCCAGAGAGGGTGAGCAGGAGAAGCTCCCAGCTCTGCTTCCCTATGAAGCGCAGGTCCTTTATTTAGGCACAGCAGCTGGTCTCCAAGGAGACATTCGTGAGCCCCATCCTGTGTGTTTGTGCCAGCCCAGGGAAGAAGAAGCCTGCACTGTAACCAGCCTCCCAGTAGAATCTAGGTTGCATCCAGGTTCTCTACAAAGCCCTTCTGACACGGTACTACCCAGACATTGTTACCTGCCCTGTGCACGGGCAGTGACTCCAATAGTAAGGAGTCTGGTATCACCACGGGGAATGGGCAGAAGATTCGAAGGAACCCTATTGGCAGCCCTCAGGAGCTAAATGGAGGCTCCTGGGACTAAGATTCTCTCCTTAGCCAGACCACTCAGGTTCCCCTGAACTACTTCTCAATGAGGGCTCAACTTTTGGAATTTCACAGTGGTCTCTGCATTGTCCAAGTTTAATAAGAATCCTGTTAAGTCAGGTTAACCCGGATCTCCAACCCTCTATACTGACCTGATTCCTCCTCCTTCGTCTCCCCTGTGTAAAGGGGAGCAGGTGTCTAAGCATACCCTAAGCAGGTGGGTCATAGTGCCCCGTCTTCAGATCCTGCCCTGCCTTTAGCAAGAATCCTGCCAGGTCAGTTTAGCTGGAATCCCCCTTATGTTGATGTTTTCTCTAAGTAATTTCCATTCACTGACCCTACCATGCTCCTTGGCTGTAATTGTTCTCTCTCTGTACTTCTCAGAGTGGAGCCTGGTATCTTTTGCCTATTGCAAAACCCCATTGTGGGAACCCCCTTGATTAGGGTTGGCCTTTCCATGTTTAGTAAATGTCAGAATGACGTTCTTCTTTAACACTTACCATTATAATCAGAGATCCAGATCTCAGAGACACCTAGGTGGCTCTGTCCTTGGGTGCTGAGAATGGGCTGAAAGGCTTCCCTTCTCACCAGTGCGCACCTTACATTTCCCAGGTAGACCAGGTGTGCTGGGGGAGCCCGTGTGATCTCCTCCTGGATAAGGGCCTGAGACCACTGCTCTCTTTGGGGATAGGTCCCTCACATTCCTCCTCTTCTTCCGTATTGTCAGCCTTTACCCCCAACCACCCCAGGGTGTCACCTCTCTCAGCTCCCCCCTTCTGAGTGTCTGATTGATCCCACTATCCTTACACAGCTCATGGACACATCTACCCTCCTCCAGACTCCTCTTCCAGCCGGGATAACCACACAATAACCAACACACAACAAGCATGTACTATGTCCCAGGTACTGTTATTAATTTCATTGAATTCTTACAATCATCCTATGAAGGAGGTCTTATTATTACACTCGTTTTATAAATGAGGAAAACAAAGATCAAAAAAGTAAGAAGACTAACTTAAATTCAAGCAGTTCGCAAATGGCAAAGCCAAGATTCACTCGGATGTCTATCTGTGTGCTTTATACCTTGTATCCCTATCTGACACTGTATGATATTCATTGGTTATTGCACCGTAAAATGTAGGCTTCCTAAGGGTAAAGTCTGTCTTATTCACCACTTTCTATATTAGTACCTGCCACATAACTGGTGCTCAACAAATATTTAAGCAAATGAATTAACTGGTGGCAAAATTTACACACTATTCTTAAGTTCTTTTCTTTATTTTTTGGTTTTTTGAGACAGGGTTTCAGTATGTAGTTGAGACTGACCTGGAACTCACTATGTAGCCCAGGCTCTCGAACTCACAGCGATCCTCCTGCCTCAGCCTCCCCAGTGCTGGGATTATAGGCATGCACCGTCACCATGCCCAGTTTAAGTTCATTTATTAATATTCAAAGTAGCAATATACATGGTTAAAAAAAATCAAGAAGTATAAAAAGGCACCGTGAAATTTTATATCTCCCCTAGATACCTAGTCTCTTTCTCTTTACAAGGCTCTTTTGTGTCCTCCCAGGGATATTTGGATGTTCTGAACGTGTGTGTATGGACGAATATATATGTGACATACGTGTATGGTACATAAACCACCCTGCAACTTGTTCTCATCTTATATGTCTTGGGAATTTTTAAACACACAGACAGACACACACATACTATTAGCCATCACGCTAAACTTTCATGAATCAGAGTGGTCTCTGGAGACATTTTCAGACTGGTGTAGTAAGTTGTAAGAGCTGGCATCCCTGAATGGCCCAGAATAATAGCACAGAGAAGGACCCTGAGACGGTTATTTCTCCAAATGGAGAGACTGCGACTGGGAGTGCTGATACGGGGGGTAGGAATAGATATCCTCAGAGTCCTATAAGGCGCTATATCTAGGGCAAGGGCAAGAATCAGGCTTCTGGAATCCTTTGCCAGGCTCCCACTGCCCTGGTCTCCTTTCTGCTTGGCACACTCGGAAGAAATCCCAGGCAGATCCCAGCGTGGAGAGTGCTTGGTTGAGCTCTGTCAATGGCAGGGTCCTCCCAGGCAGGCTGGGGTGAGAGTGATTATGTAGGTCGCTTGGTAATCGGAAAAGAGAGTCTGAGCCCTTTAAATGCAGGCTGTTTCATTTGGTCCCAGAAGATTGGATTAGCATTGATTGTCTGCACTGAGCTAGTAGATAAAAGGCCCACACCAAAAGGGAACATTGACCCGAAAGGATGAGCCACGGCGCCTCACTCTCTGTGCAGCTTCCACCCTGGCATCTGGGACTTCCGGAGCCCTTCGTCAGCTGCCAGGAGTCTGTGCCTCTCCTCCAGTTGGCGCAAAGCGGCATAAGGCCGGGGAAGAAAATCCAGAGACAAAGCTGGAGAAGTGCAGAGAAAGGGCTTTCCACTGAAACAGATGCCGCGTTTTGCTGATGGGTTTCCCCTGCATCTTTTAGTTTATCCTCCTTCACACCTGCACGTGCGCACACGCACGCACACACACACACACACACACACAGCTTAAACTCCATGAGAAAAAGGACCCAGTAAACTTCCTTTGCTGTGATTCCCCAGTGCCTAGTGTAACTGATATATCAGGTGTTTGGTAAATATCTGAAACAAAACAGCTGGCG